AATGTTTCCACAGTCGGCTGTTTTTTTTTTTTTTTTTTTTGAGTGCTCCAACTCTGTCAGCACTAGTTTCTCTAGGTCATGCAAATGGGATGCAACACTGAACCACATATGCTCTCGCAACAAACAGTGCTGTGGAGAAGCACAGTGGAATTTACTCTAGCTTTATAATGCAGCACAAAATAGTTGACTCCAAGTATAGCTACTTTTGTGACTCCGTTTAACCAAAAGCTCTGCCGAAACAAACTTGCCGCCTTATAGGTAGTGCAAAAGAACCTCGCGTGCCTAACCTGGAGAAGGGCATTTTTTTTCATAGGTCAATTTTTTCTTAAAGCAATACCTTCAGCCTCCTTGAAATGTTAACATCATGTGACACACGGAAGAACAGTAAACTCTTTAATGTTGGCGAACCTTTAATTTTCGCGGCCTTTAATTTTGCAGAATTCAGTGGCTGCGATTATGTCCTCTGTGACCGATTCGAGAAGAAATAGGGGCCACGAAGATAAGGGAGCTTTACTGTACGTCGGAGGAAAGAGGAAGTCACTTATGTTTGTAAGCAGGAGTAAAACCAACAACAACAATCATGGTGTCGACACTTTGTAAGCCTATCTGTGTCTATTGAATGATATCAATTTTGTTTTAGTTCGTTAAACATTGTTGCCTGTACATTGTGGGATGTCGTCTTCAACACGAGCAGTGGTTTTCTTCTCAAGCAGGCAGCATGGATGCGTGACGCAGCACAACATAGTTCATTTGCAGGTGGTACCGCAGGTTGAAGGATGGTTGGCACAATATGGGGGAATCACAATTCAATGTTCTACCTCGGGCGTAGACAAGATTTGCTTATTCTAAATCATTTTGTCTAAAAATCTGGGATTCGCGATGAATGTACCCGCATGGTTGGAAGGGCCAGACAAGCCTTGTGAGCGCTTCATTTTCTAGCGTCTCAGTCCTGAACCCACTCACGCACCACATGTGTAGATGTTCCGATAGGTGGGAGCACTTATTTGGAAAATGGTGAATGGCAACTGTTATCTTTATCAGACTTCTGTATTATGGTCAAAGTTGGACTGCATATTTGCAATACTTTTTCTCACTTAAAAATATGTCATACTAAAATATGTAAAATAGCCGATGACAAGAAGAGAATGGCTGGGCGTCCTCCAGCACGTGCTTGTGCTTTTCACCCCACTTTGGACAGATGTGCTTGCTCCAGGCTCATGAGGCGCTGAAACGTCATCGAAGGTAGCAGACGGGCTGGTGGTGGAACAATGGAGACTTCTCCCTGCCTTTCTCATGCTGTCAGTGAGCGTGTACCTCCATACTCTAACTTAGCTTAACCTGCACAGAGCTGAGGAGAATAGGCTTGGCGAGTGCCCTTACTGCATATGCATTTGTGCAGCTGAGGCACTTTCTGAATCAAGAACATTGTGTATCTTACCTTCAAAAACACATCATTTTGGGGGTGCAAAAGGAATTGTAAGGCATATCTTTGTTTGTATTGTCCTATTACGCATCGCAGGCACGTTGCCAGGGGGAGGCTTATGAGGCCCGCCCCCCCCCTCCCCCCCGATATCTTTCATTTTGCATGGGTCCTCCTCTCCCCCCTCCCCCTCATACAGTGTTTTGTTATGAGGGGGCCCCCCCTGAAACAAAATCCTGGCTACGTGCCTGACGCATCGACTCCAACTTAATGCGGAGTTGACCCACCCTGTTGATAAATTTATTGCCTGCCAGGTAGTTTGTTTTGCACTCAGTTAATATATCAGTATTCAGTTAGGTATCCCAAGTCATTAGTCGTTGGGATGCAGTCTCTCTGCAAGTCAGTCATGTTTAACATTCATAAAACTGCTTGTCAAATAATGGCACTGTCGAGGACATGTACTCGGCTCGAGCAATCGCTGTGCACAAGCTGGTCGTGTGGATGCAGACAGCAAACATCCCGGTTGAAACGTCCTTCCTCGCAATGTAGCTCAAGACTAGGTCAGGGCCCCACTCACAAACGTCTATACTTTGCATCTCTTTAAGCTGGACCACTTTTGACACTACAAGCCATTGCAGCAAAAACAGTGTGAGACATGATTATAAGCTCGACGTACCATGGCATCCAACTAAAAGGTCACATGGCTTGCAGCTTCTGCCGTAATTAACTTTAAACTGAGATAGTTTGGAATAATGCTCCCGGTTTCTAGTGTTGCCCTGCACGGTTAACAATTTGGTGATATAGTGCTGCATTGAAAAATCTGCATTCGTGACTGTATCACCTTATGAATGCATACTAGCTATTAAACTCTCCATTCTGCAGAGAAATGAAATGCACTTTGCTTCCAATTGCAGCTACTTCTGGAACTTCATGGTATGAAGCACCTTATGGCTGCAAGCTCTGACCGATCTTGTTCTCTGGTCTGCGCAGGCCCATTGCAGGGAGTCACTCCGAGAGGCTCACCAGAGGTTCCTGCCCGTGGTCGTTCTAAATTTTTTTTGTTGTAGGTGTGCATCCTTTCGGTCTTTCCCTAATGTACTCGGGCGTTTTCTTTTCATTGTCGCAGATTTGCCTCAAAATTGGTTCAGCACACAAATGGATGCTGTACAACTGTATCCCGCATATTTTGTTCAAGTTAACTTTTCTTTGCAAAAGTTAGATTTTTTTATAAAGGTTAGTCTTTTTTGTTTTTATTTACAAATTTATTTGAGTTTCCATGGGCAACACTAAAACGTTATGCCAAGGGCAATGCCAAGTTCACTGCTCTAACTTGTTCTCAACTGATTGCAAGAAATTTTGTTAATGTCGTGAAACCTCTTTCCAGCACTTGCTTTGCAGCATGGAAACAAATTATACATGGGACATACTCTTTTTTAGACTGGTTGCTCATTCTGCAGGTCTGCCTTCTATAGATGTTGTGCTACTAGAGAGCAGGCGAATTCGATTGTTGGTTTTGCCATTGCTTTTTTTTTAGCAGTTGTCTTAATAGTTCTTGTAAATTTAAAAATTTTCCTAAAAAGCAAGTCGGCAAGAATATCTAGTTTGACTAGTTAGCTGAAAATAATGATCTAGTACCCTTTAGTCAGTAAAATAGATAGTTTGTGCCGGTGTTAGTGTCAAGTAGAGATGCACGCTTTTTAGGCACTTTGCGCAGAGTGGTACCCATTTTTATTGGTTAGCCTCTTGGTGCGCCAACTAAACTCTTTCTATCCAGACACCTGCCCATTGCTTTTATTTGGCAGGCATTGGCAATAAAATAATATAGTGTTATTCCTCGGTGGCTTAAAAACCTAAAGAAAGAAGTTTCTTCATGTTTAAACGCAAAGTTTTATAAAGGCAAAAATCAATTAAGCCAGTAGCAGACGACACATAGCCTCAACAGTGCTCCGCGCCAACAGCGTTGCGTCAAAATAGCGGTCGTCTCCTTTTTGCTGCCTTCTCTCTCCCTCCTTCGGCACTCTCCTCCCTTTCCTCCTCTCCGGCACCTTTGTCACCACACCCACTGGTTAAACTCTCCCACTATACGGCTCTGCATTGCAGTAGTAGTTTTTTTTATAGTCTTTAGAGTTAAATGTGAATATTTGACAGAAATCTCCCAGGTTGGGGTGAAAGAGGGTTAAATGAATGCATTTGATCATTCGCCTTAATTCGGTACCCATCATTTCAAGGCCTGTGTGGCCTTGTCCTGGGGTGTGTCTATGACTGTGGCTGTGAAGGAGCAGTTTTTTAATAGGTGCACGTACAAAGTATAAAAACAAAAGGATCTATGTGCTGATCACGAAAGAATATGCTAGCCATTCTAATGTAGCTCTGCCAAGTACTTGATTGTGATTTATTTTTATTTCCAGCTACTTGGTTGCCTCAAGATCTGGAGATCCTAGTGGCTACAAGCTTGGACTCGATCTTTTTCTGTGGTCCGGCCAGGACCATGGGGGAGGTAATCCCAGCAACAAGAGCATCACAGTATCTCCCTGCCTGTGACTTTCGATTAGCATCACGACAAGGGAGTCCTCATGCCACCAAGTGTTAGGTATGCTACTCGAAATAAGCATTCTTACCTCTTCTTGAAGTGAAACAGCAAAAGCACTACTAAGCCTAAAATGAAAAAAACATTCAAATCTCGGGTTGGATGGAGTTCCAATTACAAAAAAGGCGTCTGCAGACATGATTCACATGTGAACTTAAAGCCCACGGATGTAGGTTCGACAGAGTCACAGAAATAACTTCCCGCAGATGGCTTCGCTAGTGCTATACACAAACAAATTCTTAAAATAATCATTGTGTTACGTTGGTGTCATCAATCTTATGTACCTACCCCACCCAGCAGTCGGGACATGTGAAATATAAAAAAACAGGAACTTGCACATTGTCAGCTCTGCAAAGATAATATATTGAACCGAGCATAGCACGTTCAACTTAAGAAAGCAATTCAGTGCAGGCCTAGTTTTAAGCTTCACATATTTGTTATTGCCCTTCATAATGAAGTAAAAACTGCTTAAGTTGTGGCCCAGTACAGGCTTTCTATTAGTGTTAAAAAGTGTTAAGGCAGTTTAAACAGCTCGCTCCAAATATTTTCTTGAAATGCATAGGTTTATGGAAATTATTATGTGGATGTTTGCAGACAGTCATGGTGAGACCAATCTTTAGTGCCAAGTGTTCCACTTATTCAGAGTTGGTTGAGTCTGTAAATATTGTAGGTCGCAAATTAAATTTTTATAGTATGCAATGGGCACAATCATCCGTAATGCCCTATTGGAAAATTTTGATGACGGAAAGATGATGGAAAATCCTCATACAAGCGTAACCGTAATATGGGACATCCTATACCGGCGAAAATGTGGCTCCACCATAGCGGATTGAGATGGAATATGATACAGGTCGACGGAACCATACAAGCGTGTCGTATTATGGGACATCCTATACCAGCGTAGTGGATTATGACGGAACCATGGTGGTGCACGGAACCATACATGGTTCCGTTCGCCTACATGGTTCCGTTCGCCTACATGCTTCCGTTCGCCTCCATGGTTCCGTTCGCCTCCATGGTTCCGTTCGCCTGCATGGTTCCGTGCGCCTCCGTGGTGGTTCCGTGCGCCTCCGTGGTTCCGAGCGACTGCATGTAGTCGCTCGGAACGATGGAGGCGCACGGAACCATGTTGACGAACGAAACCATACAACATAACGTTTTAGGGGACATCCTATACCAGCGAAAGGGCGATGACAGCATTGTGGAACCATATGGCAGCACACCTTCCACATACCTGCTTCATACAAGGATCCAGGCACACAGCCAGGATTTTGTTTCGGGTTGGGGGGGGGGGGGGGGGGCCTGCCCATGACAAAATGCTGTATGATGGGGAGGGGGGAGAGGAGGCCCCAGCAAAATGGAAGATTTCGGGGGGGCCCGGGCCCTTGGCCCCCCCCCCCCCCCCCTGGCTACGTGCCTGCAAGGACCATACAATTGAATTAGATTATACATTTAAATCATAATATGAGATAATCACAGAAGCGAGTTGTATAAAATTGTGCTGGTTTCACAGGCATGAACCAGCACGCAACCTTGTTCAAGGTCATTGTCGAACACTGACAGTGTAAATGCAACGGTTTGGTAGATTTTCTTACAAAACGTATCTAAAGACCTAGGTTTCCAACTTATCTTTCATTTCGGAGAAACTCAAGCTTCATAACACACCTTTTTATTTTCCAAATGGAAGCACAATAAAGATGTATACAAGCAGATCATAAACACTGTACCACATAGGTACAAAACTATATGAAACTTCCATTTCCAATTTTTTTAAAGCGGTTATATATTCTTTTGCCCATACACTATATTAAGAGCTTTGCCTCTTGCCATAAAAACCTAAACGACGAGATGGTTACAAATATATTAAAAATGTTTGCTTTTCTATAGTGACTTAAAAATATGAAAGACTAGAATTATAAATGTATATTCCAAACATTTGCTGCCTCTAGCTCAAACTGATTTTGCAGTTTTAGTGTTAAAACATTATGTGCAGTCTAAGGAACAAAACAAGCAAGCAACAAGAGTGAGTGAGCGTCCCAAGCCACTTGCATATGGCACCAAAATCAGCGCTCCCAAAATGACATTTTTATAAATTTAATATACCTTGACTAAGAAACTACTTATCCGATTACACTAGAACTTTTACACCTTATAATAAAATATTTTGCCAATAGTTTGAACCGAAATGTTTTAAGAATTCACTACACTATAACGTAAAAAAATTTTAAATATAAAAGTTTTCCCCTAATGGCTTATGACTAGAAAACTATTTTTTTTCTTGCATGCTGCATGCTCATATTTATTTTCTTTTCGGTTCAGTTCAAAGCCAGTAACATGTAGAATATATGTGCCAAATTAAATGAGCATAGTTTTTTTTTTTTTTTAGAAAAGATACATTAAAAACAAGAACTCAGCTTGAGATGTGACACTCCGTTACTAAAAATATAAAAAAATGCTTTAGTAAAAAAGCAACAGAAAGTTAATTCCAATAAAAGTGCAGTTATACTCTGTAGCTGTGTGCAGTGCAGGCGAACGCAACACCAGGCAAAGAGAGAAAGGGCGAACACTAGGAAGGCGGGACGGGAGAGGAGGGCGAAGGAGGATGAGGGGACAAAGGGACAGCACTAGGAACGTTCAAGAAAAGAGTATTCTCTCCTCCTAGCCAGCCTTCTTATTACTTGCCCTTTCTCCCCTCGCTTGGCGTTGCCTTTGCCTGTACTGCACGCAACTGTTGTCACGGAGTATAAAATCTGCTGCTGCTGCTGCTCAGTGGTGCTTTCTGTTCTCGTCTCCCAGCAGCCTCCGGATGTGCGTGTTGAGCTGACCAAGTCTCAGGGCGGCCGACACAACTGGTGACGGGTTCCTCTCGATGTATGCTGCGAGGGCACCTGGAATATAATGTAATATTAAGTAGGTGACTGTACCAGTGGACGCAAGACCTTAAACAACATCCGAGAGAATTTTAAAAAAAAGTAAGGAAGAACAGAACACAGGTAAAAACTGGAACGGTTCCTTGAAAAAGAGAGCTCATTGCTACATCGATGCTGTCTTCACTGGGTGTTGTAGGGACTCGGGGGACATTAGATGGGTGGATAACCACAACAATATTTTGATTATTAACCTAAATTTGTTCATTAGCTTTTTAATTGGTAGTCTTACGGGCCATGTCGTAATTGCAGTTTTGAGGCAGCTAAAATTAGAGCCTAACCAAGGTGTCTACCAAATTGCTTTTTTTTTTTTAATTCCCCGACTTTTCAGGTGTTCCATGACTATTTTAATTGAATTTTCTGACCCACAACTACCGACACCATAACAAAATATATTATAGATAGACACTATTCACAAAGCAAAATATTTTATTTACTTCGGAAGATGTGTAGAATACAGCATAGACCAAGCTTTACTGTTTCAGGGAGTTTGGTCCCAGTACCTGACCAGCATATCCATTTTTTCTCTCCGAGTTACTTTGTTCATAAACTCATCAAAAGCAACCAGCAGATATGGCACGCTAGAAAGGCTTGCTAGCAACTTCTCTTGAAAGTATGGGCCGATACCATGACATATGGTATATCCCACTTTGTCTTTTCTAAGCTGCATTTTTTTGGCGGTCTCACACATGGGGAACATCAACGGAAACAGCGAGGCAGATGCTGCCGCTAAACGGAAAGATCCACGAGTAACTAGTGTTCAAACACCACATGATCTCGGCCCCCTTTGTGACTTCGTTCTTCAATAAAAAGCCACCCACCAACGCCTTCACATAGGGCCTAAGAGCTTCCGTGGCGGTGGTTAGATGCATTGCTGGAGCCCTACAAGCACTATCGCTACCTCTGGACAAAATGCCCGTTGCTGTCGCGGAAGGCTAGTCCACATTTGTCGCAATCTTGAAAAATACGATTGGGATCTGGGAAACGCCTTGCAGATATTTCATAGCAGCTTGATGTTTCTTACCCTCAACATGAGTAGTAATCGCCCTATTCCCCATGTTGCTCAAGGAGAACTTCTTGCAGCACATTGTGCAGTAAGCTCTATTTGGATTATTTGGGACGGGCCAAATCCAATTTGCATTCGTTGATATGTCCGGGTTTGTCCAGTTGAAGGAGCACTTCCTCGACAGCAACATAGTCACTTTCACATATCTCCACTTCCGGAAACTTACACAATAGAAAGCACAACCCAAAGCGACAAACGCACGTGGCAGAGCTTGTAGAGTGCAGGCATCCAGTTGCATTTACAGGGAGGCGCGAAAACACCATATCTGACAAACGAATGGACCGCTAGGCGTGCACCCCTCAGAGGGTAGATGAATGAACGACGCCTGTTTTCCTCTGAGTGAGTGGTGACTCGCGCCACCTAGTATCGGCTAGAGTATCTGTTTCTCCTCGTAATAGAGCAACACCCCCTGACTCGTCACAAACTAAAGAAAATGGCTGCTGCTACTCTGCTTCACTAGCAACTGTGAGTACATCTTGAGCCGCCATACTTTAGCGTTGCTACTCTAAGGTGTAGCTTATTTAGTGGCTTCAGAGTGTACTAAAAAAATGATGAGCCGCCAGCTTCGCACATGCTCTTGTGTGAAGCGCAGCGCGTGGAAAGTTGCCATGGCGGAACTGCGACTGTACCCGCCCGTCTGCGCCCGTCAGCTTGGGCGGGTCGTGTCGTGCCTAGGGGGTTGCGACGCCGCACTTGACTGCGCTCAAGGCTATGCCTGCCCGTGCCTGGCGCTTCTAGCGTAAGCGGGCAAGCATGGGATAAATTCTCTGACTCCGCAATCTTTTTGGAAATTTCCCTGACAATTCCCTGACTTTTCCAGGTTTGTTAAAATTCCCTGACAATTTCCGGTTTTCACCGTCGGTAGACACCCTGCTAGCCCAACCTAAAACAATTTGCAAAATGGGACGGGACTTTGAGATATTTATTAATGAAGTTTCGTTGTCTATTCACCTATTTCAAAACGCAAGAGGATAGAGCATCAGAAGTTGCAAACTGATCAATGCATAAAAAAACGATGCAGCCATCTCACATAGCTCGTGACTATCTCGACAGTTTGTAGTTGGTGGATGGGTTGATGTCACACCTCCAAGACAATGATGTGATGAGGGCCCGAAACCACTACAGGGGGAAAGGGCTACCGGAGCTTCCCCCCAAAAGAAAAGAGTGCAAGTCCTAGATGAGAGGCTTCGCCGGCGTTGGGTATATGCATTTCCCGAACTTCGTTCGCACTTTTTTTATGTGTTTTAAAATCCCAAACGTAATTAGAGCCACATGCTTATATAGCGACAGTCCCCCGGTCATCGGGACACCATTGCTTGGTTATAGGGTGCAAAAGTAACGACAGAAAGCGTTGAATACTGTCCAAGGACCTATGTAGCTTGCACGGAATCTGTCAATGCGATTGCAGCTGCAATGTCCTGAAGCTCCATCGCTTTCCACATGACTTTTTGTAACTTTTTGTAACTGAATTTATCCTAATATTTATGTTTTGAAGTGGTCACACTGGCTCGAGTTTATCATCTACAATACTTAGTCGAAGGCTAATTTCTGCCGCCGGGTGTGACTGGAAATTGTCGATAAGTTAGTTCTATCGGTTTTCCTGAATCGCAATCTCCTGCGTGATACCAGAGCGCCATGAACCCATGCTGACCATCACAATGCGAATAGATTCTTCTTATTTTCTAAATTTGCACACAATGTAACTGGAAAGAAACCTTCAATTTCTGTTGCTGAAAGTTGAAACATGCTCATGCATCCATTTTGAATCGTTGAATCATTGATTGACTTTTTCAGCAATAGGCCCATCTCATCTTTGCTATTTTCAGTTCTCGACAAAAGACACTCGTCAACACGTTTTATTTGAGGACCCTGTATCAAGAGTGTGTCTTTTTTCGAGAACTGAAAACGGCAAAGTCGAGATGGGCCTATGGCCGAAGCGAGACGACCAATGATTTACCGATTCGAAATCGATGCATGAGCATGTTTCAACTTTCAGCAACAGAAATTGAAGGTTTCTTTTCAGCTACATTATGTACTGAAATTTGAAAATAAGCAGAATCTTGTCACGTTGCGACAGTCAACATAAATTCATGGCTAACTGGTATTGCGCAGGAGATCGCGATTCAGGAAAACCGATAGAACTAACTTATCGACAATTTCCAGTCACACCCGGCGGCAGAAATTAGCCTTCGACTAATTATTGTAGATGATAAACTCGAGCCAGTGTGACCACTTCAAAACATAAATATTAGGATAAATTCAGTTACAAAAAGTTACAAGCTGAAACAACACTTATCACAAGAAAGCTTGCAGGCACCTTGCGAGCGTACCCCATGTTCATCGACGGTACAGCGTTAAGTTCGGTGGACGCTCCATTCACAAAATGTTCCGAGCACAGAGGATGGTATTGGGGAAACGTCTTTTCGGTTTACGGATGCAACCCACTGCCGCCGGAGATCAGGGTCATGTGGAAAGCGATGGAGCTTTAAGACACTGCAGCCACACTCGCATTGCCGGATTCCGTGCAAGCTACATAGATCCTCGGAGAGTATTTGACGCTTTCTGTAGTTATTTGTGCACCCTATAACCGAGAAATGGTGGCCCAATGACCGCAGGACTGTCTTCAGTGAAGCCTGTGGCTCTAATTAGGTTTGGGAGTTTAAAACAGAGAAGAAAGCGCAAACGAAGTTCGCGCAATGCATACAATCAACACGGGCGAAGACTCTCATCCGGGACTTCCCCTCTTTCTAACACACCAGCAAGTGAGAAAGTACCGGTAGCTCCTCCCCCCTTTCCCATCTTCTCTCTCAGTCTCAAAATGGTGCCACCCACCATAAAACAATCTATACATGAGAGCATGACGCTTGCTCATTGAAAATGAGGCATCAGAGCCCCTAACAATAGGGGTACGGATTTTTTTCTTTGTGATGTTTGATTTCATGCCTTATAACTACATAAATTTATCAATCCCTACTTCACTGTCGGGGGAAAACGGTGGCCGAGTGGCCTAACGCGTCTTAGCTTGGAGCATGTGGAGCGAAAGCTCGCGATGAAGAACCCAGGGATCTTGGGTTCGATCCCTGCCCTGCCCGTTTCAATCTGGATGAGCATCGTACTGGCGCGCATACGTGTAATCACTGCTCTGCGATGCACGTTAAAGACCCCAGGCTAGCAGTCATGCTGCACTGGTTATATGGCTCATTTACGGCAGAAAACTTAGAGCCAATCTGAGGCAGACTGACCTTTCGCTGTCTCAACGAACTCAACACAATTTGCCTTTTATTTACTTCACTGTCGAAGCCTGTAGAGAAAGGTCACTGCAAATGCATTTCGTGTATGATGCCTCAAACTTCATTGAACTTTGAGTAAAAATTACCGTTTTTTGCGTGCCTAAAAAATTTTGTGTTGTTTTCATTTGTACCGATACCTGCTTGATTTTGTTTGTACCGTACCCTCATGGGGATGGGCAGTATTTTTAAACTAAAAAATAAATAAATAATTGCTGGCATAAAATGTGCCCTTGTCGCTGTACCACTGTTGGGCCTGAAAAAGCTGTGATGCCACTGCCACGAAACTGACCTCCTGGAAAATACAGTCTTGGAGGGAAAACAGCAATACTTAGTGCTGTCATGACTAGTGGCAACCAATCTTTGTGCCTACAAAAGGCTCTTCGTACAAGGTTTATAGACATGTGGGCGGAAAACAGTCCCTTCAGCTGACCAGTGCCGCCACGAAAAGTATATTTTTTCGCATATGTGGAAAGGTACTACAACCTTTGGCTCACACAGTTACTTTGGAAAGTGGCACACATGATACCTCAACCCAGAGCTTTCAAAGGAAAGCTCAACAGCTGGGAGTTGAGATTTTTCCACGCAGTAGCAGTGCGGCCCAGATTAGAGGGGAACCTCAATTACACATCCCTGGTTTATGCGACGTCCTGCATTTCACAACGAATTAACACAGTCCTGGCTAGCTCCTCATAAAAGCAATGTCCGTATAACACGTTGAGAGATTCACCTGTCCTTCCTCATACGATGACCTGCGGGAAAACACTGAGAACCAAACAATGCAGGTGCACACAGGCACGCGAGTCTCCCAAGCAGCAGCAGCGAAACATTCCAGAGATTCGTCCCCATCGTTAGAACAGTATGTCCTACGTTCTCCCCTTGCGCCACCGCTCTTCTCTCTTTCTACTTTGATTCCCCTTTCTGTCTTTCTTGTTCCATGAAAGAATGACAATGTTCAGTTTCCTGCCAACTCCTGCTCTGCTATTACCTGCATTCTCTCCGTGCCTCTGCCATTGATCTGTCGCGCTCGCTCCTGTCTTTGCAAAAGTTAACAAGCTCAATGCTCGAAACCTTCTGGTTGTCTCCGGTTCCACACGTTTGCAGCACGTGCTGGCACACTGCGGCGCACTACTACGCACGACGATGTGTAGAAAATGGACCGCCCTGACGCTAGAAGAAATATATTGAATCGTCGAAAAGGCAGACAAAAGAAAGGAAGAGACTAACGTTTTTAAATGAAGTAAACGAATGCTTACTTACGGCGAATATATTTCAGTTTTTGAGGAGTCAGGGCTTGCCTTCCCAATGCGCCACTTTTCAAAAGACGACGGCAGGGGTCCCTGTGAGGCTTCTGTTCCTCAGGTTATCCGGCCATAGCGCTCTGCAGATGTCCCGAACGAATATGGAGTCCGTGCCTGCATCCATCAGTGCTTCCATGTCACCGGGCTCCAGAAATGGCTGAAAGTAGAAATGGAATGCATGTGATCCTATGCTTAGACCTGACATATACACAGAAAGGTAGGAAGAGCCCTTAAAGGGGCCCTGCAAGGACTTTTTTTACTGGTTTTTAATTTGCACCGAACCTGAGCGTACTGAACGTAGTAACTTAGTGAAACTTTTCTTTTCTCGAAATTCGCTTTGTTTTAAAAGTTATAGGCAAATTAAAATTACAAAAACAAGCAAAAAATAAGCTTCCTCATGACGTCCTTGGTTGCTTGAGTGGCCTTGAACTAGGGAAGGGGTAGTGGGCTCATCGCGGGAGCTCACGGCTGCCACACTCCGTGTCGACGGCGCGAGAGGGTGCCACTAAAGCATGTTCTGGTTAGGCTGTATGCAGCGGGCAACCAGAGCGGCTCTCATTGCATTTGCTGCGCGATTAAGCACTAATTCGGCATGACACCTCATTGGCCACAAACGACAGCAAACACGGGGTGAAGATCAGTTCAGAATGGGAGCCACTTCGCGCTGCCATACCGCGAAACGGCCAAACCTCCGAGCGTTCCGAAGGCCTTCGGAACGCTCGGAGCCGGTCGGATCCTCATATCCATACGACCGCAGCGCCGCCGCGTACATCCGGGACCTTTCTGTGTCGGCGCCTGATCCCACTACTTTTTTCTAGTATGTGCCGCCTTTTCCACCGCTTGGTGGCGGGTATGTCGACGGGTCATTTCTTGTTTCCGCACTTTATAAACAGCATCTGTTTCTTTTCTGATCTAAAATAGTGAACAAAAACTACTTTTATAAGTAATTGAAACGGTTCGTGCCACTTATATTTTGTAGGTCGACTAAAAAGAAGCTTTTAGCGGCTCTGACCAGTGGTAAGCCTAGGATCAAAGACGTTACATTTTGCGTGCTTTCGATACCGCGGGTCGCCCTCGTCGGTGGAGGAGGTTTCCGCGTCGTCCGGTTAAAATATGACGCACTGATATTTAGTTACTCTCTCCGTGCCCGCTGGCTTGCCCTAACCCCAAGAGACGTGGAAACCGCAAAAAAAGGTAGACGCTTAAATAAGATTGCAAGGCCCCTTTAAATTTCTACCTTCTCCCATAAAGTATGAGGCCTGTTTTCTTTTCTGAGGAGATAAACTCCCTCACCAGCTTTTTTTGGAAATACGAACACAGCCAGAAGGAAGGGGGAAACGACACTGAGGAGAAGGTGGCAGCTTGAGCAAGTTGGTGATGCATCGTATAAGCCTACAGTGCAAAAACGGAATGAATACACAAAAAGATAGGGAAACAAAATAACAAGGACGGTGCACTCTCTCTGTGTACTTGTTTTGTTTTTGTGCTGTAGGCTTATATACTGAGGAAAGATTTTCTGCCCAGCAGAAAGTGACCTTGCATGTATATGATGATAGAACTATCTCACACAAGCAATTAAAATACTTATTAAATAGTACCGTATAATTGCGTGTAAGGGCCGCACCCCCGTACTTAGGACAAAATATTTCAAAATAAAATAAGAGAAATTATTCATGTATGCACCGCACCACCTTGTTTCTGAGGTGCGCCGACTGCAATGCATGAAAGTTTCTATGAATATATATCGCTAGGTGGCACTAGCCACCGCCTGAGCACGTAGCAGCACGTCTCCGCGTCCCCGATATTTGCTCTCCATTCATCCGTATCACCGTATGGCACAATGGCTGCCGACCTCGATCCTGTTTGGCCGCACCGTCGGGATGCGTTTATGTTGCGGCTGGAAGACATTGAGAAAAGATGAAGGATATGTCAGCTTCCGTGGCACGCGCGAGGAATGGGGATTCAGCGGGCTCGGTTCGCGCGTGCACTCTGGTTTCTGAACGCCACTGTACGCTCTTGGTAGGTTTTCTTTTGTTCTTTAGTTCGTGTCAAAGCGTCGTGATTTGTCTGCCTTTTCGCGCAATGAGAGCTATGGGCAAGTACCACTTCAACAGTCATACGGGATTCAAGTCGAAAGTTGCTGCGCATGCTATCAAGTACAAAAAAAAAAGATGTGTATAGCGCAGTATGTAAACTAATTAAATCCGACTGACGATTCAGTCCGGATTCTGGAGTGAAGGCGTTTTCGACCAGTGCACCAGACCCAGAGCACTTGCATCAAATCTTGCATCAGACTTTATCCAAATGCTAATATCTGAACAGGCTGGTTCAGACATTAGCGTTTGGCTGCGCTGTGTCCGCTTGCAACGAGATGTGATTACGAGTTGCCTTTGCGACCCTTCAAACAAGACAATGGGGAGGTGATGCGCTGCATGATGCAGCGCGACGCGATGCAATGCAGCGAGTCAATGCAGATGCTTGAAGGTAGAAAAGGAAGAGGTCGAAGCTGTTGCTGCCCCATTCCACATAGTCACCCTCAGAAGAAAGGGTCAAGTCGACCTTGAAACGTTGTGAACCTCTTTTAAAGGTGTTATGACACGCCAAAAGTAAAATATGAGAAAACAATACTGCTAGGACCCATTGTACGTTCCTATAATTCTGCCAAGTTTGTTTTGAAAATGGCGCGATAGTTTTGTGGATAAATTGATTTATATGCTGGTCCTTCGAAGGGGCGGATCCAGGCGGAGCGGGAGGCTGGTGAACTAGCCAGCCTCCCGTGCGGCGCCCCCTTGCACGCACTCGCGGACTTGCCTCTCTTGGGAGTCTCGAGCTTCAGCTTCCTCGTTTACCTTCCGCGTTTCGAGCATGTGGTTCATGACGATTACGTCTACGGCACTGCTCGCCTTGTCAAAGTGTTCAACATTGATCGCAGCAGCGATGAGAGTGATTGCTATCCAGAGATGTTGGAAGCTGTTCATTTTGACTGCGATCCGCTGGCGACCAGCTCCAGCGACGGCGAGTTACGGTCAAACTCGCTGTGGTCACCGTTGTCCGGCAATATCTCGCAAGTGCATGCAGGGTGGAAGGTCAACAAGCCGGGGGCGAGAGCGAGAATAGCGTTCGGGTTGCCGAGTTGCATGAGCAGTTTTGATCGTACCGCGGCAAGGAGAGCTTGGGCGATCATGGGGGCGCCTAGAATGAGAGAGTGCATCCATGATAACGTGGTTTATCGACACCATTGTGTGACTAACTTGGGCAGCGTTGCCTCGTTGCTAAATGAAAATGAAAAAAATTTGTAAATTGGTTATTGCAATTATTAGAGCTATAAAAATTTCGTAATTTGGTGTATATACTAAGTAGCCTTTGAGCATTTCATTTGAAGAATAATCTATCCGTTTAATTTTTGTGTCATAACCCTTTAAGTGTTTTTGGGTTGGAGTTTTTTTTTTCCCCCAATTGAAACCAACACTCTTTCGCAACGTCACTCTTGATGCACTTCTTTTTCGGAGACCAATAAAATGAGAATGCAGATAGTGAGGCTCCGTTTTTCTCGTCCATTTGCAAGCGCAAAAATAGGCGCCCTAAAATTCAGTAAAGCATTGAGCGGTGTGCTAGTACCCCAAAAAGATAAGAAAACACATGTTCCTAAAAACAACAAAAGAAAGCTGCCTTTTTTTTTTTAAGGCAGTTTTTGAAGTCGTTTTAAAACAAGACCAGCTTCCCATAAGAACCAGCCATGGTGTTGCTCTGGAGTGCAAAACAGAAGAACAGGTCCCCCATATTAAAACGTTTTGCAACATTAAAGGGTAACTCCGGTCCATAGTTTTGATTTTGGGATTATGACTGTTCTAGCACAGTCAGCGTCCGTGAATTACAAGGTGTAATTTGTTTTTCGGTATTGTGCATACTTTTAAAGATATCGACGCCTCAAAAGTTTTGTCTGGGGCGTGGTCAACAAAATCGAAACTAGCCGCTCGAGGCCCCAGCAACACTGGACATCAGTCGCTAGGTGGACTTCACGTTATCGTCGTTCTTGTTCAACGAAGTGCTTTAACGAGTATGCGGTCCAAGCGGCACCTATGTCTGTTGCGCTAGCCGTTTAAAGATAAAAGGTAAGTTGCTTTCATTTTAATTCTGTATACGTGGTAGATACCCAGCATATGTAGCAATAGTTAGTGCGTATACCCAAAATCTAGCGACTGGCAGGCGAGTGAACTCGCTCGGTGTCGATGTAGGATACCAATCTCACTACCCCTCTGCTTCGACTATGGTAGTGGGTATGGCGTACGCCAAATTGAATACCGTAGTCGTTTATTTTGCTAAAACGGCGGAAATAACATTCTGCGGCAAAATACCCTATTGCTTGTTGCTGTTTGTATGAGCGGTGGAACGCGCGCACGGCAGGCGTTGATTAACTTTTTGTAAAGTTAGTTAATTAATTACGTTTGAAAAACCTAATTTGCGAAAATATCAAAGAAAAGGCTTGCCGCACTCATAAGAAACACAAAAAAAACTTGTGATTGGAGCTAGTTAGTGGTTGTAATCTACATGCCCACCATTCCCCATTCAACGAAGCGTGAATGCTCCATGTTCAACACTGCATTTGACAATGACTGCTTTATTGATCTAGATACTTTTATCATGTTTACCTTTTGTGCAGGACATACCACTTAGTAATGCGAAGTTCATTGCTATGTTGACTGCATGTTTTACCTTATGTCTTCACTGTGGTTCGGCTGGAATCATCCTTTTCACTAATTTAATGCAGGACAGATATCGGCAACCCACAAATGCTGCTTTTTTTAAAATCTCTGCCTCCTTTCTCCATATGGGATAAAGAAAGCTTTTTATTTTGAATCCCTGCGTCAAGGTCGTGTGCCAATTTCCACACTGGGCGGGCTTTTTCTTTTTTTTTTTTTTTTCAGCAGACACGTTGTTTAGTGAAGACATCGAAGGCGACGACAGCTGGAGCCTTAACCGATGTGCACATGACCCACTGCCACATGCTGACGAACTTCGCAGGAAGAGTGCTTCTTCGGTGCGCGAGTGCGCACCGAATTACTCGCTAAAATGAGCCTTGGAGTCCTCACAAGCAAATAAACAAAAGGCTATGCTGAAGCTACACGAGCTAAAGATAAAGCAACGGCTAAACACACCAAGCACCAGCCGAAGCAGCGGCGGTAGCGTCTCAAAGAAGCACACTTTCCCCGCTCGACCACGCAACAAACAAGCCCGTCCGAACCAGGAAAAAAAAAAAAAAAAAAAGAATGATCATGACGTCACCGCCCGAGGTTGCTTTAGCGATCGGTGATCCGCTGGCGGCCCCCTAAGGAGCGGCTGCTCGCAGCGGGTCGCATTTTTATTATTGGCATTAGTTGAGAATACGGCGTCCCCTTGACGTAATATTTTGGCTGGGGTCGTATTCTGTGTCACTAAAGCGATACCAGTAATTTGTTTCCTTTTTAACTTTGGCCGGAGTCGCCCTTTAGGTTCCAATTAAAATAATTTCTTTTCTGCCAAGAAATGGCACCGCAGATTTGGTCCACTGCCATTTGTTGACATCACACTAGAAGCCGAGAATTGGCTCAGCACGTTTTCGGAATGTTGACATCTCAGATATTTTGTTCCATCGATAATCGCTGCGCTACTTACCCTTACATTAGCTGTCAGATATTCAGTTATAAGTGCAACATTTTCAAATCCCAATCTCACCGACAGATGGAGCAGTTTGTGAGCAGCCATTTGCCACACGCAGCTCTTTGCCTGGCCACGGCATGGAACTAGTCAGTGAAAAGTCAAGAATGAAGGGCGAGGGAAATTGAGGGTTGGGAGGAGGAAGTTGGTGGAAGGCTGGAGAGAGGGGGATGCTTCCTCCTCTCCACCCTTCCTTTTTCTCGCCCTTCGTTCTTGAACTGTCATTGACTATAGGCATACACAAAAATTATTTCACCTGAACTTCAGCAGCATTGCCGGGAAGCACTACAGGCTCTTCCTGGGCTGGCGGTGCGGCTGGCACTTGCTCTTGTACTTCGATTTCTGGATCCGCCAAGACTGGCGGTTCCAGAAGCGGTGGTGCTGGGGCTTGTGGAGCCAGGACTGGTTGTGGCAGAACTGGTTGTGGCAGAACTGGCGGTGGCAGGGCTTTCGGTACTGGTGCTTGTTCTGCCGAAGCTAGTTGTGGGGGGACTAGTGGTGGCAGGATTGGCCGTAGTGGAACTGGCTGAGGCAGGACTGGCGGTGCCAGGGCTTGCGGTACTGGTGCTTCTGGTGCCAAAGCCAGTGGGGGGACTAGGGGTGGCTGTGCCAGGTATGGTGGTACCAAGACTGATGGTGTTGGGCTGGCGGAGTCACCTGCTTCATTTGAAACTTTCAATTAGATCCCCAGTCAAACTTGTGCCCCATAAAGTATCTGTGTGAAGTCTACAATGCTGAACCTTTTTCTAAAGATCCCACTTACTAGTCTCAACAAATGAGTCTGAGAAACAGGAAGCCTCGGGAATAATCTCCACTCCAGGCAGCACGGCTGGGCGGGTAACCAGCAGGTCTGCAAATGTATTTCCTCTTTACATTACCGAGCAAGACACGCAAAAAATCGCCCCTCAGTAAGCAGGGGCTACTTGCAAACCGAGCTGATGCATGTACCGATCACCAGCCATCAGCGGACTGTAAGCCATATACAAGAAGAGACTGCTCAAAAACATTACAATGCAAACACCCCAAGTTTCATACCGAGTCCATAAAACCCGAGTCCATAAAAGGCACACAAACATCATTCATAAACCTTTTACACTAACAGCTGCCTTTTGTAAGTTTTGTGGGGTTTGCAATGTCGTCTGCTGTCGAGCGTAACCAATGTCAACCGCGCACGCATGGGCTTTCTGCAAGGTGCACGGGAGACCTCTGTGCGAGGAGGAAAGGTTTCTGTGGTGACCCTCGCTTTGTTTGTCGTCTGCCCGATCTCACCGTTCTGGGCAATTCGAGTTGAGGGCTCCAAAAGCCAGTGTGGCTCGCGACAACCGTCCAGAGGAAGCCTATTCACTGCAGACCAACAGCAAAGAGAAGACCCGTCCCGCACACACCGAAGTACCACTGCAATTACAGCAACAGCTGCATTAAGGACGTTTTGCGGGGTTTGCAATGTTGGCATCGGCGTCGCGCATAATCGATCTTTGCCGTGAAAGCAGACAACAGCCTGGCTGAATGTCGCCGTCGTAGATCACCCTCCTCGCCGGTACAAACCTAGGGAGGCCACTATGAGTCTGTCCCGCAGTGGCACCATTATCAACCTTGTTTTAGCAAAGGACATTACGACGTTCATCGAATGTCCTGCATTCCCAACCTACTGCAGCAATCACCGAGCACTTGTGGCAGTTGTTGGTGCCACTACCCACGTCAACGACCAGACCGCTTGCCTAGCGACTGGGTGTCTGCGTTCTTACTACCGCTGCAAAAGGACAGCCTTCATCCTTTCTGTCACAATGTGCGTCAACACAATGCTGCCCCCACACTAAAATAATATAAAGCGGTATGCACATCACTGTCGTCAGACTATGCTCAAACATTTAACTCGCACTACAGTAAAACATCTGACCACTCTCGCTGTTTTGGAATCTTTTAGTTCTGATTAGGGTTGTATGTGTATTAAAATTTTTGTGCAAGAGCTTCAAATACGGTATTTGATATTCGCTGCTATATTTTGCCCATATTTTGGCAAAATGTAGCAGCGTGTAGCAGGGTTAGCCCCTTGGCGCAGTTTGGCGCAGCAATCACATGACTGGAGTCACGTTCAGGGCGCAATTTAGCGCAAATGGCGTAGCACTTCCGTCACTCCATACACACCTGCCATGAACCCCAGCTTTGACCACACAAAAGATGGTCGAGCGTAAATTTTTTTTGAGTGCTGCAGCACTTCAAGCTGGGTGAATACCAAAATAAACTAATTGGCTAGTTATTCAGACAACCGTAGATGCAGACAAGTTCTGCTTTGTCCCGATGTGTCCTAATTCATGTCTTTCATCATATACCCTACTATTTCCATCATCCTGATCATTCCAACTATTTGTCCTTAAAAAGTGAACACTCGTACCTGGCTGTAAGAAACCTTCCTATATGGCAGGTCAAACGAAACGAAATCTCAAAATCAATAGGCTTAATTTCATCTGCAAAGCACCCTTTACCGGAACGGCTGAAGTACCAACTGTATTATGCGCTGATATATACCAAGGTTTATTACTGCTTTCTTGTCTGGGGTCAGAAATTGAGGACAAATATCACACATCTGCATTTATTACAAAAAAAAATCTGCTCGTCTAATGCACAATTGTGCTTATGACGCACGCACCGCTCCGCTTTTTGAGAAGTATAAAATTTAAAGCTTTGAACATCTCTACATTTATAAACTTCCACCCTACATATTCCATGACCATAGACTTCAACAACCTAGCTATCCATCTGCATGCACTAGACCCGACCACCATGACATTATTTGGACTAATTAACCAAAATATGTTAATTAACTTTTTGATTAGTGGTCTCATGGGCCATTTCGCAAGTGCAGTTTTAAAGACGGCAATTATAAGAGCTTAATCAGATTAAAGCAATTTGCAAAAAGGCAAGGGGCTACTTGATATTTATCTATCGACTTTTGCATTTTCTTCGCCAGATTAAAGAACCGCACGCAGCAACAGTGCAGGATGCGGAGGGCGACGTACCCATTTTGTGCACTTGTCATTACCTCGACGGGCGAATTTGCCAAGAACGCGCTGGTGACGAGCCGCCTGAAACGACTACCGTGAAATTTCCAGCAAGCGCCCCCACTTCAGCAAAAGCCCCCCCCCCCCCCCACCCCACACAACTTCACTGCTAATTTCACATTTTCACGCCGTTCCGGGAAAGCGCCCCCACTCCCCGCTACGCACCCGGATCACGCACCGTGCTAACCACGCCCAGGCAACACTGGCCTGTGAAATTCAGTCCAAGAATCCAATCCAACCTTACTTTGCAGCCCTATCGCCACGCGCCACTCTGGCTTTGTTTTGGAGGTGTCAGATCGGCTATGCATTCTTACAAAACGTATATCAGACGTCTCAACACATCAAGCTCGACCCGCTATGGGAATGGGACCAGAATTTTGAGTTTGCTACAGCCAAACTACGGGAAAGCCAAACTTCGACGAAAGCTAATAACGGTGCGCCGGTGTTCAGTGAATACGTGGACGACGCGCTTTTTGAATACCTGGAGCGCAAGAGAAGTGCAGAATGAGCCGTTAGCAACCTACTTCTTTCTGAGCAGGCTGTCAAAATAGCCAACGGCATGCAGTTGGGAAACATCGCGGAATGCTGCAGACTTTTTCTTGCGACCGACTCTGAGGAGTCTTTTGGTGGTTTTGAAAGTGAATAACGTAGCAGTGACATATCTTTGGCCTAATAAAGTCTATGTTCTCAGAGATAGATCAAATATTAAATTCGTGCGCATGCGCTTTTTTTCTTCTTCCGTCGGAAAAATTTTGTCGCCATCTTGAATTCGGTGCCATTCCGGGATAGCCAGCCCGCCCGCCCGCCCCCCCCCCCCCTTCCAGGTTATTTTGACTTGCGTGGGGAGGGGGGGGGGGGCGCTTGCTCGAAATTTTGCAGTATTTAACTGTTTTGTGCACTGATAGGTGCGCAACTTCTTGAGCTGTTACAGCATGTGGTTTTCGAATCAGGTAATGAATCCCAAAATTGCACCATTAGCATCTCAAAGCCCCTCGAGTTTTCACAACTTGTTTCAATTGGGTTAGCCCTTGAAATCACTCGTTTTAAAACTGCAATTCCAACATGGTCTGTTACACCATTAATTAAAAAATTAACAATTTTTTATTGATTAGCCAAAATATTGTACAATTATCCAGGGTTATCCAATCACCTAATGCCCGCCAAGTCACAGAAACACAGTGAAGATGGAATCCACGTAGCAGTGAGCGCCATTTTTTGAAAAATATTCTGATTGAAAAATATTTCCCAAATAACAGACAAATATTTAAAAACAAAGGGGACCTACATGTGCCTCTAACTGAGGAGGGAACTTGTCCGTTTTTCCTATTGTACCCAGTCTCAGTGGCACCGAAGGGCTCCTAAAGGAAAGAAGCATACCGATCCTGTCCAGGAGAGCTTCCTGCAGCCTCCTTGTCAGCTGCCGCTCGACCAGGAACTCCCCCTGCATTACCACGAGCTCTGCCCGCAAGGCCGCATTTTCCTCCTCCAGCTGGCTCTGAAGAGGGTTCATTCTCTCCTCAGGCTTTGCTGGCTGTGGCCCTTTCCCCTTGCCACTGTTAGGAACCTTGGGACCATCTCTCTTCTGCTTTTTTGGTACCTGTATATTAGGCCACAATAATATGAGCAAGAACTGAAATGAGGGCTTATAAGAATTACAATGTTTTGGAGCTCCTTTTTTGAGCTGCATAGATCGAATCAATAAATTTTACAAGAATGATTGTGACTTACTTCTTGCAGGACAGGATGGCCCCTGACATTTATGAAATGAAAAGCTATTGAATATGCGTAAACACCATCCTTACGACACCGAACAGAAAATAGATGCCTGCGCACTCGGCAAAGTTTGAGAGCCGGTCAAAGCAATCCACGTGCCAATGACATAGCGGAGCTTAGAACAATCAAACGGCAGCTGAAAGTGACTTTCCCTGCCTTCCGCGATATTGCACATTTTCTTGACTACTCGTCAATTGCATGACGACAACAGCGGAAAGGTGCCAGCTTCCAAGGCGGAGGCACTGGACACTGCCATCTTTTTGTTGTTGTGCAAACATATTTGGTAAGGTTGCATGAAAAGTAGCCAAGATAATGTAAAACATGGCTTGGGGGGCGAGGGGGGAGGGGGTCATTTTCAGCTGATGAATAAAATTCTGGTTTAGGATTCTTACGCCGCTCTACAATCTTGGTGTGTGCGCTCTCCACTTCTAAGATGCCACAAACACGTAAAGGAAATCCATGTCCTAAAACCTCACTTTACATGTACGCTCAGAGACCATGACAACTACCGGCCAGGTGACGTAGCAATACATATGGCAAGACTGAGGCACAACATTATCAAAGGGGCTGAGGAGCTGTCCGAGATTGTCTATTTGTGGTTTTAACTCAATCTATATTAGAGCACGAGAAGCCATCACTCGTGATCGGCTGACAAGCGCCGTTCAACCACGTTCGGCCAGGCTCGGGTGGTGCCATCTGTAGGTCTGAGATGTCACAACCTTTTATCACATTTTTAAGGGGGTACGGAAACAAAAATTGAAATATTCAGATTTCGTTCGGAAATGAGTAAAGCATGACGGATAATAACCGTAAATGATAATCGCACGTTTGTATTTTGAACGACTGGCTATATTTTTCGTTCCAAACGGTGCACTCGAGCAAGCACTCGAAGAGAAGCGAACGGAGAGCGCAATGAGTCATGGGATATCCGGCGCAAACAAAAACAGAAAGATTTCCCGCGTTCGTGGAGTAGCAAGGCAGGCGTGGTTATGAGCTTTGCCCTTAATGGCGTTGTCAGCGTTGTGGTGGTGTCAATAGCGTCAGCATGTTACAACCGAGCCGTTCGAAGCACCCGTAATGTGACAAGCGTGTGGCTGGCCCAAGGAGCACGTAGCTTCCACAATACTGTCAGCTTAGGCCTGAACAGGGTGGTGAAAACAACTTTTGTTCGAGTTTTGAGCGACGGGCTAATCTTCTAGGGAGAAAATGGCGGTGTCCGGTTGCACGAACGAGGGTTCGAGAAAGAGGGGAGTCCTTCCTTTCCGTCTTCTTGGACCGTTTGGTACAATACGCGATTTGTGAGTTCAGCTAGGAGGAAAGCTAAGAAGGAAAATGTTGAAATTCCAAAGGGCGGCGCTGCTCCGAAGGAATCTGCTACGTCACGACTACGTAGCAAGTTCCCCAACGCTGCTAGATTACCTTCCAAAGAGGCTCCGCATGCATCCACGAGGTGCGCATTGAAAGATTGTTTATTTAGCTTTAAAATTACGGAAGACTGGTGTTTTTGAGGTTAGGGTGCAACATGCAACACATTCAAGCTAGAAAATGAGCGCTGGAATTTCATTTCCCTACCCCTTTAATATTGAAGTAATGAGTTGGCTGCACACCATTGTAATTTTTTTTTGATGCTTTGAAGCACCTAAATTGAGTTACAGCCATAAATAGACCATCTGACACGGGCGCTTTGAACCGTCGTTGAGTCTATGACAGTTAACACGCACACCACAAACCGAGGCTCTGTTACACATTTAATATCCTGTACTGTTTAGACACCTGCAAGTTGTATAGCACCAATTAAGTTCAAACAATTTTCACTACCAGTATTATCTTTTTAATGATAAATATGCTATTAAATGTGCCGAAGTTGAAAACATAAAAATCGACTGCAGCAGAACTCTGCATCAATTGGAAAAAAGAAACAGTAAATCTTTTTTGGGTTATTAATCCTTGCAAACGTTTACTTTCATCAACGGGGTCATACACCAATTTTAACATTATGTTCTTTTCTACCTTTGTGAGCTGCAGGCTTTTTGCCTTGTGTGGCTGTCTTCAGTAAAAAAAAATAATTCCACAACAACTCTTTAACATTGACACAGCAATTTGAAAGTAATTACGATAATTTTTATTTAAATTTTTGCCAAACAATTTTCTTTTACTATATTTTGCCACCAAGGGGAGAGGCACAACAGCACATGCGCATCCGTTCTTCTGCAAGAATGACAGTCAGTTCCCGCAATTCTTGTATAGAAAATGGCGTACCATTGCGATTCCCACGATTACCAGCAACCTCCACCCTTCCCCGCGCCCCGTTGTTCGGCAGCACCAAGAGTTGCAGAGTGAATTTTACGACAGTGTGAAATGTGGGACATTCTAAAGATTCTGGAATTTCTCGCATGACGCAAGACACGAGCCCTTAATGCGGGACAGTCCCACGAGTGGTGGGACGGGTGGTCACCCTAGCCCCAACTGTGATTGAAACTGAACTGAGATGGTGCTACACGGCTCTCTAGAACCCAGTTGAAGCTAAAACAAAACTAGTTCTTGTGCCACATGATCAGTCTAATTGCTAAGGTAGTTTACTCGGAGACACACCTTTTATTTATTCATTATGTTCAATACCTTGTTGCTTTTTAGCGGCGTTTACACAAGTACCAAAACAGATTCAGGGCTAGGTTGCACATATTTTAGTCTAGGTGGTGCAAGCTACCGCCCGCAGGTTATAAATGGGCTATTTGCCCATTTATAAACCTGGTCCTTCTGCAATCTTCTCTCGTTTGGTGGCTCATTTTAGCGGAAGCTCGGACGCCTAAACCTATTCCTTCCTAGAATATCTGCTGCTACAATTTTTTCGAGACGCCTCTCCCTGCATTCCAAAACAGTAAGCGCCTCGCAAACAATGGTCGACGGCAGTGGTCCCGCCGACAGGTGCCATTTGACTTCCGTTGGGGAAGTCCCTTCAGTTGAACTGAGGTAGGGGAGCTCAGTTGAGCTCGACTGCGGCTCGATGACAGTTGGTGCCGCCGTGTAACTCCGGCCGATCGCGATTGAGTCAACTGTCATTCACTCAATGGCAGTTGAGAGCACCCGTGTAACTAGGGTAATAGAAACCTTCTTAGTGCCCCTTAAATATATTGTTTCACTGTTAGCTGGCATTGATTTAGAAATATGTTTAAAACCAAAATTACAAAATTGTGCAAAATTTGGTGGCAGACAGAGCTTGCAAACATACGGAGACAAATAGGAGACGCTGCGGCCCCATTTTCTCTTAAACATTTTCGATAACTGCCCATAAATTTTTATTTTGTTGATGCAACGTTCTGAAACTTCGGCACTTTGCTTCAGCCGATAGGTCTACGTTCTTGGAGAGTTCGAGCTCGCCGTGATGTCTAGTTTACTGTTGCATCCCGAAAAACACTGCTTGGTTTTCTCGCAAACTCCTTGCACTCTCTTGCCTAGGAACGCGGAGCGGTTACAGATATAGCAGAATTAGAAAAATGTAGTGTCTAGAGTACCGTCCGACGGCACTCTTGCAGAGCATTCAAGTGCCGTCCGACGGTACTCCACTCACGCGTTCAAGTGCCGTCCGAAAATCTCGTATTAAACGAGTTCTCAAAAAATTTTTTCTAAGCTGTAATGTAGCTTAGTGGTAAGATGTGTGCTCCCTAAGCAAGCGGTCCCGGGTTCGATCCCCAATGCGGGCTTATTTTTCTTTCTATTGCTCGAAAAGTTTGTTTTGTCGACGCATTTGGCGATACTTACATTTCTTTTTTACGATTAACAATTGAAAAAACTTATGTTGTTGACGAAACTTCGCTGAACAAAATGGTATGGGACTTCGTTTCTGGAGGTGCATGGGTGAAACTGGGGCTTGGTTTGCCGGCTGGACGTCGCGAAGCGGCGTATACGGCGAGGCCAAATGAGTCAATAAATTTGTAATTAGCAGCGACATACCGTCACCGCGAAGCGGCGTGAACGCAGGCGGGGGGCTGTGTCAAGGGGTGTCCAAACAGGACACTACAAAACGCACGACTCCGACAAATCGTCAAAATTGAAGCGGACGCTTCTATTTTTACGATTCGTCGGAGTCGTGAAAATTTTTCAAGGAGTCGTGAAAATTTTCACGACCACAACTTCTCTCCTCGCCTCCTCCACTTTTCTCTGACGTCGGTGCCCGTGAGATTTGACGTCACACGCCACCTGCGTCTGGCTCACCTCGCCAACGCGTACCGCAGTCGCCTCGGCTCGAAGGCCAAGGAGGTCAGGCTTCGGGTGGCTTTGGGACATTCTTGCGTCGAAGGGTGCGTTTCGGTCGCCCTGGCTCAGCTTTCTTTGTCAAAATCCACGTTCGTAGCTCAAAAAAAAATAAATAAAGTGCAGTGCGCAACAGTGAGACTTTTAATTGTATGTAGAAACACTGAGAACTTAAGAATATATCATTTATTTCATTAAACTCCAAACCAACCAAGTTTGTTTGTCTATGAGATACGTTAGGAACAAGAGCCACGGGAATCCAATCCAATCCACAGAAGTGCTGGAAGATGACAAGACTATGGTGCCTGGAACGCATCTCCGACTGGTGTGTTTACCGCGGCCAAAAAAAGTGGTCCCTTGATTTCCGCCTGATGACGTCATAGAAGCGTCATGCTGTCGCTAGAGTTCCTGTATAGGCTCCCTACGGGAGCCAGAGTTGCGCATTTGTTTTCCCCGCGCCGCCACGCCGCTATTCGCGGAGATCCATCACGTGAGGAGCAAAGCATCCGTTGGCGTGCAAGAAAGCCACCTTTACGGTCGCTCCGCCGACGTTTCTCTTGCCCCGGCGTATGTTTCCCTGCTTTCCGCCTCCTTTTCCTCCTCTCCTGTTTTCCATGCGCGGCGGCGCGCGCGGCGCCGCTATTCGCCAAATTTAGTCACGTGAGGAGCAAAGCATCCATCTCGTGCGGGAAAGCCCGCTCTACGGCCACGCGCCGAGGCTGAATGCGCAACTCTGCTACCGTAGGTAGCATATACAGGAACTCTAGCTGTCGCCGGTCGCGACCCTGGCGGTGTCTCAACAGCTGTCGTGTCTATAGCAGACGCCTGTTCTGCTGCAGGTCGCTCCCCACTGTGACAGTCCACAGTAGCAGCTGCCGAAAGTTGGGACGCCTGGGACGCCGTGACGACAGCGACACTCGCGTTCGCTTGCGCTTTTCGCCAGAATCCCTAAAGCCAACCACCGGGATTGCGACAGTCAACAGCATGACACTCCGGCTTATGTGACGTCATTTGTTGCCACTTGGGGACCACTTTTGGTGTATGGGCAGCATAGGACGCTTAACACACCAGTCGGAGACGCGCTCCAGGCACCATAACACGACCTTGGATACCACGCGCGCTCGCCTGGCTTGCCCCCTCACACTCTAATCTTTCCTTTCCCGTTTTCGGGACTTGAAAAACGGCGGTCTTGAGCGATCGACCGACAGCCAACAAAGCGTGTGAGTGGCTCTCCAGACCCACGTGATGAGCGGAGCAAGGCCGCCGTGGAGGAAGCGAGGGGGAGATTTGACGGGGGAAAGTTTCCCCCCGGCAGCCTTGACGGAGGGAAATTTCCCCCCGACGGCCGGTAGCGGAGCGCGGCACGATTTGCCGGAGTCGTGAGTTTTGTAGTATCCTGCTTGGACAGGCCTTTAACGAGCTCCCGTGATACACGCGTCATCCGAGTTTCTTTCGGACGGCACTTGTAGGCGCGAGTGGAGTGCCGTCGGACGGCACTGTAGACAGAGCAAAAAATCTGTTGAGGTTACCATACAATACACACAAATACTTACTCTTGGTCGAACTTCAGTATTCTCAATAATGACGGGAATTGCTAGGCGGGCAGCTTGCATCTTCTTGATCAGATCTTTTTTGGTCTCTGTTACAATAAGCAAAAAAAGTATTGAGTACGTCAAAATAGACCGCAAACAGAAAAGTAATACAAGGCACGTTCGCCAACAGAAACCCAGATGTCATCTTTTGATTCTTTCTTGATAGCATCAGAAACATCAAATAACTAAGCGGGAAACAGGAAGTAAAGCACTCACCTCCGAGCATCGTAATATTAGCCGGATAGTAATTTTCCTCTTCGCCCGCCTCCGAGCGCCAGTAGGCGAGCTTCACGACTGTGGGATCGAGGTCGTCGATACTCGCCGGTCTAAACTTTTTTATCAAAGTTACCGGCAAAATCGATTTTTCGCCATCGAGGTATTTCACATACGCGTACATGTTTAGTTTCTCAACTGCAGTTTCTGGCAGCGCGCTTTCTGATCGGTTCACATTGTTTCCAGGCGCCGTGGAACTTTTTGGATTAAACGTAGACAACAAATGGATAAGGTTTTTCAGCAAAATGTTTCAACCGGTGGATGCAGTATTGTTAGCAAACGTACACAGCCGTACACATTAAAAATAAAAACTATTATAAGTGAAAGCAATTAAAATTAATTAGCCAGTGACAAAAATGAACTAGCAAAGCCAACAGAAAAAGGCACCAAAAGAACTTGTAAAGCCAATAGAATCCAATCCTCCTCGCCCCCCTCTCCTTTCTTTACCCCACCCCACCAAGCCCCACCCCCCGTGATATTGACGCATGTTATAGTTTCGCTTTCGCTTTCGCTTTCCTTTTTACGTTCACAGTGAAGCGAAGTGCAGGGGAGGCCTTTGTACACCGCAAATGAAACACTCGAACCAGCAGAGGGACTCCTTCAGCCAGGTGCGCGATTAAAGTTACCAGGCAATGCTTGTTGTCTGTGTCGAGTGACGAGGAGCTGAGCTGTCGGGCGCCGAAGAGCGAGCGCGTCGTAGTTGTCTGGTCACGAGCAGCGAGAGGGTGACCGCCACTAGCACAAAACCAGACTCGTCGGCTTCAGCCAGCCTTTCTAACTCTTGAGAATCATGGGGAGAGTGCACCGAAGGAAACAATACTTAAGGAAGAAGCCTTTCGTCGTGCCAAGATCCACACGGCATAACAGAGCTTTGCGGGCAAATCGTGCGGAAAGTACTGCCAGCGCCGAAACTTCCGCGGAGCGCCAGGATGCTCGCCCGGGTTCCTCACGCGAAGCTGGCGAGAGCCGTGACATCGAACAGGTCAGTGGATTTCCCCGTGTCAGGTGCGCGAGCGAAATTGGCACAACTCAACAAACCGGAGAACAGTCGTTGCCAGAAACTTCTGCGATACCCGACGACTACGACGAGATGACAAGCGACGCCAGCAGCTCTGCACCCGCTGAAGACTCAGAAGGAGTTAGTCAGGACAGTGATGGATCTCTCCCAAGCTCCGACGACGAAGTGCACTCTGATGACGACAGAGAAGATGAGGCCGGCGATCCTGAGGGCGCGGGTGAGGGCGTTGGTGAGGGCGATCAGCTTCCATTTGACGACGTTCGTCTGCCGGGTTCAGGCACCACAGTTATGATGGCCATCGTGCTTTTAGCATCGTTCGTTATCGCTCATGCGCTCTCTTGGGCGGCGCTTGACGATTTGTTGTGCATCATGAACGCTATCTTCGGCTGCATTGCAATGCCACCATCCAAATACCTTTTTCGCAAGCTGTGGAACAAGGACAAGGCTAACTATTTCTACTACTGTGAAGCCTGTGAGACACTTCTGAACTTGGACATGACCTGCGAGATCTGCAACACCACGTACGAGTTAAGGAAACTTCGAGCTAATGGCTGCTTCTTTGTGATCATGAATCTTCGGAATCAAATTCAGCACCTAGTGATAAGGAACAGGCAGGCACTTCATGAAAACCTTGAGAAGATAGCTGCAACTGCCGCAAATGAAAACATCAATGACATCACAGCAGGGGCCGCTTACAGAAAGCTTAGGGAAGACGGAACATTGCGGTATGGTGATCTGACCATTACATTCAATACGGATGGCAGCCCACTTTTCAAATCATCAAGAAACTCAATCTGGCCCATCCAGTTCATTATCAATGAACTTCCTCCTGAAATAAGGTTCAAGCACCCAACACTTGCTGGTCTGTGGTTTGGGAAAAAACACCCTAAAATGACCCTGTTCCTTGGCAAATTCGTCGAACAATTCAACAGCATGGAGCCACTCACGTGGACCCACATGATGAAGACGTACCACAGCAAAGTTTACGCTCTCTGTTGTTGCGTAGATGCACCAGCACGAGCAGCAGTGCAGAACTTTATGCAGTTCAACAGCTTCTTTGGGTGTCCATGGTGTCTCACAAAGGCTGAGCACAAAGAAGGTAAGAAACTGTGCAATATGCTCATGACTGAAATAAGAGTTGAAACGCAAGCACGTCCTGACAGTATTGATGATCCTACTAAAAAGCTCAGAGACAGTCGGCACAAAGAACGGAACAGTCGCAGCACTGGCATTTTTCTGCATAAGCAATGTGCTGAATGCATGTGATGCAACATAATGACGAGGTTTCAGACCAAGTATATGTGATTTTTTTTCTTAGAAGAGCCAAATCCAGAAACCAAAGCTGAGCCAATTCTTGTTGAAATTCTGGGTATATTTGGGTGTGCAGTTTCCAAAAGGTACCACAATGAAATCAGTCATATGTAAGAAAAGCCACTGTACAGGTGGCTGCGATACAGGGCTGAAATCTATACTGATGAGCAAACTTTCATGTTTATCTCAGATTTGCTCCACATGGGTTTGGTTCTTTTGAAAACAAAAGAAATAAATAAAAAAAAAACATATGCATTATAAGATAAATAGGGCACTTAAATAGATCATTTTTAATGTCCACATTGCTCTAAATTTAACCAACCACCTTGATTCTGAGGAAAAGAAACCCTAAAAAAAGCTCATATTACTTGAATAAGTGTGATGGTGAGCAAGCTCAATGGTTCAGTTATTACAAGTGCCAGGTAATAGCGTAATAGATTTCAGTATCTGAAAGCCATTCATGTGTTGTTTTCATGTAAAATACAGCTCTATTAAAGAAATATTTGCACCTCAAATCTTTTTATTTGAAGGTGGCTTGAACTATAATATCTAATTAAAAATGAAGCAATGATATTTTGAGTCTGTCTCTTTAATTATAGTTATATATGCAATTACACTTAGACACATTGAGCACTAAAAACTTACAGTTGTAAAAATCATCACTGCCAGTAATGAAGTGCAATTTGTTTCCCTTCAAAGCAGAAATTAAGCCCAGTATTTTCCGATTTTTAAATTTGCAGAGACCAGATCTTATTATTCGTTACCTCATTTAGATTTCCGAAAGCTAAAGGAAATTAAATATTGTGATGCTCTCAGTTTGCAAAATATGAAAAGTTGGAAAAAAAAACAAATTTAATTTTGAGCACAGACTTCTTATAACACGTCTCATTTCGACCTAAAATTTTGTATGAGGCCGATTGTGAGCAAATCTCGATCCACTTACAATAAATCCAGTTCATCCACTATGGAAGTCTGCTAAAACAGGTGTCCGGGTGCACTTTGTTGTTTGCAGGAGGCATGCGATACCTATCATCGACCCCTGGACCAGAACGAACACCAGCAGGAGTAATTCGGGATGCACAACTGGCAGTTGAACTAAACACGGACATCAATGGTGTGAAGGGGCCCTCACCTCTGACGAACCTGATGGGATTTAACATTGTCTGGGGCTACACGGTGGATTATATGCATTGTGTGCTCCAGGGCGTCTCAAAGCAGATAACCGAGTTCCTTGTCAACTCATCCCACTCACAGGCATCTTTCTACATCGGTGAGGACTTTAAACTCTTATAGCTAACATGGTTTACACTGAGCGAGTAAGGAAGGCATGATTGGGCAGCACTCAAGAAGTCCAAACAGTGACACCGTAGCCATGCGGATCATGCATAATTGCTGGCTACCTCGCTACAGATAATGTCAAGAGATAGAACAGTCATTTGGTTGTGATATAGAACCTTTATGCATCCCAGGCTGTATGCAAAAAAAAAAAAAGCAGGGATGGAGGAAGGAAGAGAACAACAGGCAGCATGCGATTACACCTAGTGTTGTCTTTTCCTCCCTCTGTCCTTGTTTTTTTTTTTTTTTTTGGCATTCAATCTGTGATGAAATACCAACTACCCTAACTTAGTATTTTGCTTTATGTGCCCTCTGTCAAACGGATGCTTCAGTTCATCCTTTTTAAACTATGCCACTCTGACATGATAGACTAAAGAAGGAACATAACAAAGCACTTAAAAAGGCACTACAAAGGTTCTTGAGATCATCTCTTTATGGCCACAATGTGATCTACGTGCTCTAAGCATACCAAAAATAAAAATAAATTACACTGCTGTGCGGCCTATTTTAGTATTGAAATGTGCTCAAAGTTTGCGGCAGCTCAGACCTACAGATGGCGCCACCGAACCAGGCCGAATACAGTTGAACGACAAACGGCACTCATCAACCAACAACGAGCGATGGCTTCCCATGCAGACAAGGAACCGACCAGTCATGCTCATTCATGTGGGAAGCAATCGCTCGTGATCCTCTGACAGCGCCGTTCGTCATCTGGCAATAGTTCAATTTCTGCGATATATTGCAAAAAAAAAAAGAAATCTTTTGATCACATTTTTAATACAAAATTAAGGGGTGCACAATTGTAATATCTGAATTTTTAGAATGCTTAAAGCCTGTAGAATTGGTCATGACTAGGGTTCCATATCGTCTGTGTATTTTTCTTCAAAGTCAGAAATGTTTTTGCAGTGTTTTTTTTTTTTTCTCCCGAATTCGGTGGTTTTACGAGTCTATTTTTGGTGTCTGCCAGAAATCGGGGTTTATGTCGTAAAAGCAAATGCATATCTATGGCATTTTTAGGAAAAATAACTCTTTATGTGCTGTTTCACAGATAAGCACATGGAAACAATGTACAAAGAAAAAGGTGGCCTCACGGGCAGTTCACTGCGGTCAGTGTTCAGGCCACCACAAATAAGCCTATTGATGAAAGGTTCTTGCTGCGCAAAGCTGGGGTTTTTCTTCTTTCATGTGAGCTACTATTCAGGATTTTTTGTTGTTACACATTTTGAGAAAAACCCTTCGGGGGTTACTTTTTCAGTGCTTATCGGGATATACCGAAAACATACAGCCCTATTTATGACAAAGAATAGACGATATCGGAACCATCTTTAGTGCCCCTTTAAAATACAGATGTGAGTGATCGGAAAGCTCAGACAGCTCAAATGTGGCCGCTTTGCCTGCTTATTCCAGGCAAAATAGTTTGAGAATCATTTCCTCACTAGTTGACTATAAATGACAATAGCTATTCCATCCCACCCCTAAAATAAAGTTTCATGCATGGTAATTTTTTTGTGACTT